GTCCCGACATATTTCCCAGCAGTATATATAGGCATCCATATGTAACAGTACCATCTACAGGGGCCTCCCTGGTGGCTCGGGGATTAAAGTTTCAACACTATCAAACTATCACCAGCACCAGAGACTGCTGCAGGGCGCTAACCCATATGGTGTGGTAGACCTCTCCAGTCTCACCCGCTGCTCCCTTCAGCAGTGTATTTCAGTAGATCCACCTGTTCAGTTCCCCACTCTGTCTCTGGTGAATCCTCTTATTTCCCACCTCCCCCGCCTCCATCTTGCTGGCCTATACCCCAGTTCTTGTATGTATAAATAAATAAAAATAAAAACCTTTTAAAAAGACACTCAGATCTGAGTATTTCATAATTTTTGGAAAATAATTTTCAGATAGGATGCATACCTATTTCCCAAGCATTTCAGCTGAAGGAAAGAATTTACTAATCTGACTTAAGTAGATTTTAATGTTGAAATAGCAAACAGTGCTTAACTGTGTTGCATACAACCTGCATCAGAATTGCCTGAGAACTTGTAAAAATGCCCTCTGCTGGGCTCCAGCACCAAGATTACTGATTTACAGGATCTGAGGTAGGACCTGAGAATTTACAGTTCCAGCCAGTTCCCAGGTGATGCTAATACTCCCTGCACACCCCACCTCTCCACACCCCTACCCCCCACTTTGGACCACCCCTGCTTTAGGAAATCATTCTTATTTTTCAAGCAGAATTTTCAAGCAGCTTTGCTTCTGGGGTTTTATAAGGATCTTTTAAATACTTCTTTGAAAAAAAAAGTATTCAAAAACAAAATAAAACACCTCACCTCTTTGCTGAAGAAATTCATTATTGTCAAAGATATAAAGTTGGGCTTTATTTGTGTATTTAAGTACTCAGAAAATTCAGAGGTTGTTGTGTGTGGCCCAAAGCTCATGATAGTAAAAATTGCCTTTTAGTACAGAAAATTAGATTGGGATATTAGATATTTCATTTCCAGATTGTATTCATCTGAATAATAAGCAAATATCTCCAATCTCATGGAGCTGGCTCTGGTCCTTTTCTCCCCTTTCAGAAAGGTTTTCTTTCTAACACCCCAATACCTGTAAGGTGTAAGGAACACTTTCCTATGAAGAGCCTCCTAACGGCTGCTCTACAGCTGGTCTCCAGACTTGCAAGGTTATACTGAACAGTAGAATATGAAAGGAGCCAGGGGGTCTATCTGGGCCTGCCAAGTAAACTGCTATTATCAGTATCCTTTTTCTTTTCTTAAAGATTTATTTATTTATGCATACAGAACTAGAGTACAGGCCAGAGGTGCAGGGGTAGTGAGAGGATTCACCAGAGACAGAGTGGGGATCAGAACAGGCCAACTGACAAAGTACACTACTGAGGGGAGCAGGTGGCGGGTCAGGAGAGGTCTGCCTCACCATGTGGATCTCCTCTGGGATATGCAGGGATCGAACTCATGCTGAAGTAGCTTTAGCTTGTTAGTGCTTTAACCCACTGCGCCACCTGGGAGGGTCCTCAGTATCATTTTATAGAAAAGGACATTTCAGTTCTCAAAGGTAGGAAAAACATACTCAGAGTAAGGGACAATTCTTTAAATTGAATGATTTTATGAAAAAAATCTTTATTGTTTGCATATACTTTCTGATTGTTCTAAACCAGTGATAATTTCATATTTGGGAACTACTACCCTAGCACTTTTAAGGTAACAAAACAGAAAGCCAAATTTAATTTTTGAAGATTTATTTTTCTATACAAGAACTGGGGTACAGGCCAGAGGTGTGAGGGTACAGCAGATTCACCAGAGTGAGAAACAGAACTGCTGAAATACACTGCTGAGGGGAGTGGCAAGCAAGACAGGAGTGGTCTCCTGGTCCATGTGAGTCACCTCCCTGGCCAGGATAAAGCTACAGTGACTGTGGATAACTTCATAGTGATGTGCTTAACCCTTGTGCCACTTAGGGAGGCCCTTATAGTTTTAAGGATTAGACTAAATGTGCATCGCACTGTGTTCAGCTTGGTTTGAAGAACTTATGTGTAGTTTAGCAATTACATTGTAAGTACGATTTTATCCATCCACTTGTCTAGCTACCTGTCTACCTATAGCGAGAATGACTTGAGGTAAGGGAACACTATGTGAAATTCCTTTCCCTGATTTTGTAGAGTAACTATGCTCTGATCATACAGTTTAGTGCTTAAATGCTGATGTGAGGGTTTTTCCCCCCTTTTTTTTTATTCTAAGTACAATATGTCTCTTCCTAACTATTATAAATTCCTTGAGTGTAAGCATCATGCTTTTCTTGTCCTTTATCTCTCATGAAGAGCACACAGTGGCCTGGATAAATTCATGCTGGCTCACAGCACAATAGATCTGCCTTTAGATTACAGCTGCGTAATTTCTCATCAATGGAAATGTGAAATGTAAGGTGTTTCGAGGGTTATTTTGTTAAATAGTAAGCCTTCAGCTACTGGAATTGTTCACTTTTTATAATACCATTTTTTATGACAATCACAAGTGTTAATTTCAGTTTAGCTGTTAACCAAGTGATCTGAAAGGTAGCTTAGTAAATTATAAATTGGTTGTTACGATGTCTCCCAGTGCCCCAGTGCCAGACAGTTGTCATTACCTTGTGGGGAGATGTTGCTCTTAGATCTTTATTCAGGTGAGCCCCAGGAAAGACAAACATATTTCTTAACCTGCTTTTCTTTCCTCCCTTCATAAATCAGTGCTCACACACATCCCCTCCACACACACACATATAGCCATGGTGTCCACAGTGTCTTCAGAAGACAAATGGTTTCTTTAAGAGTTACATACCATCCATACGTGTTTTCTTTTGTAATTTTAATAAGATTAGGTCACCGAATGGGTTTGATCCAAAAATTGGAGTTGTTTTAATATTATCTGTTTTGCAGCTTATGACTTTGATATATTTTAAGCAATATCAACTGAGGTCTATATTTTTATTATTTAAAGTTAGTGTTGCTGTTAGAGAATATAGTCTTGAAGACCATTTGGAAATCCAAAGAGTTCCTTAAGAGTTCTTATATAATGTTTATGATTTTAGAATGAGCAGTCAGTTGATTGGTGTGTGAATCCTGATTTTGTCACAACTGCACTGTTCAGATGCCAGCAAACAGAACTGTTAATGTTCTCAGAGCCTGTGTTTCTTGGTTCATAGATGGATATAATATGTACTCCATAAACATTTGAGAATCAAATGAGCTAATAAAAGGAAAATATTGTGAACTATGAAGTAGCACACAAGTGTTTGCTACTATTACATGCTTTGAAAATTACATACATTGTCCATTTCTCAGATCCATTTACAGTTTTTCCTCTCTCATGAATACCTTTACATTCCTTAAAGATATAATGAAGAGTCTCATTTATTAGGCCAACTTCTATTTGTAGCCACAGTCATACTATTAAAGGGTTTGGTTAGAACTTGCCATTAGAAATATAATGTGATCAAGGTCCTAACCTGTTAGAGCAGAACCACCCATTAATTTGTATAAATTGCATGGTATAATGACGGGCCTATCAGTGGGCCCTAATATATTATTGGGTCCTAATATATATATTTTAAGATTTGTATGCATACAAGAACTGGGTGTAGGCCAGAGGTGTGTTGCTGAGAGGATTCATCAGAGACAGTGGGGAGCAAAACAGACAGGTCCACTGACATCTGAGGGGAGCAGCAGGCAAGACAGGATGGGGTCAACTGTGCCATGAGGGTTGGCTTTCTGGCTGGGGATTGACTTGGTGCTGCAGTGACTGTTGATAGCTTCATAGTGCTGAGACTTAACCCCTGTACCACCAGGGAGGCCCCAGGTCTGTTCACATTTTGATTCGCAGGAAGAGTTTGAACTTGTTTTGTAAAATAAGTAGATAACCATTTTACTTGTTTTTAGTTTGAAAAGGCTTGATCATGATTCAAGGATTTTTGCAATTCTTGTATTTGGGGAGATGCTGCAATCTCTAATTACAATAACTTGGGACAAGGACATAAGACTCTTCGGTTCCTGTGTGTGAGTGTGGTAACCCTTGTCACCCTCAGATAATTTTTATAACTAGTAGTAGCTAATTCAATCAGTTGACCCTTAAATTTCTTATTTTGTATCTATCTATTTAGATGAGTAGGTAGGTAGTTAGATAGGTATATGGAGAGATAGACAAATAGAAAGACAGACAGACAGATGGACAGATGATAGATAGGTGGATAGATAGATAGATAGATAGATAGATAGATAGATAGATAGATAGATAGATAGATAGATAGATAGATAGAATTTTTTTTGCTTATGTGGTCTGTTTGGATCCTAACCCTATCTCTCCCACTTTCTTATGACCTTAGACAAATTAGTTGTCTGCCAAATGTCTGTCTCCTCATCTGTGAAATGGGCACAGTGATATTAGTAGCTATCTGATAGATATATTAATTCATTAATATTAATATTAAGCTAAATAAAAATGAATCTGACAAATTTTACTTCTGGGAGAATAATTCATCACATGTGTGCAGCCTACAAATAAAATGGAGGGAAAGATTTTATAAGTGTGTCATTTAAAGTCATAAATATTACTTTATCATTGGTGATTTTTAAGATACCGAGTGAATGACGGCTGTCTATGGTAGTTAATTAAACCATTGTTATATTTTGATGTCTTTTTCCTTAAAATATTACATAAATGGCTGGGTTCCTTTTTTAATAGCTGATTTATCTTATTCTAGTTTAATAATAAAGCCATGTACTAGCTACAGAAGTGTGCAGGCTAGATTATAGTCTCAAGCCTCCCAGGACCTTAGACAGTCAGGATGTAGTTTTTGGCTGTATGTTTTTTTGTCTTTGTCTCTATCACATCGCGGACTTTCTCTTCCTTCCTCTAGCAGCATTTCTGATACTGCCTATCATCTGCTGAGAAGCTGGGTAGTCACACTTGTTTAGAACTGCAATTTCAAAATAAGTGCTCTGAATAAAATCTTCAATTTCTTTATGTTCTAGCATCATACTGCTCAAGACAGGGCCACAGTCCGCCAGCATTGGTTTCGCCTTATTAGAAATGCGTAACCTTGGGCTCCACTCTAGACGTATTGAAGCAGAATCTGTGTTTTAACAAGATTCTCAGGTAATTCATATGCACATTAAAATTTGAGAAGTCCCACTTTAGCACATCAACTTTGTGACAGTTTATTTTACTATTTAGAGATCCTTTTATAGCCGACAAGTTTTGCAATGCTATGATTTAGGATATATATATATATATCTTGCCAACATATTTTGCCTGTAGATACAGGAACAGGATATTTAACACCTTAAAGTGTATTCATGTTTGGTGTTATACATGTAATTAATCAGTGTTTGATTTTCTCTCCCTTAGGATATTCCTGGTGGTCTTGGAACAGATTGAATCATGGAATCAATCTCTATGATGGGAAGCCCTAAGAGCCTGAGTGAAACTTTTCTGCCCAATGGAATAAATGGTATCAAAGATGCAAGGAAGGTCACTGTAGGTGTAATTGGAAGTGGAGATTTTGCTAAATCCCTCACCATTCGACTTATTAGATGTGGCTATCATGTGGTCATAGGAAGCAGAAATCCTAAGTTTGCATCTGAATTTTTTCCTCATGTGGTAGATGTCACCCATCATGAAGATGCTCTAACAAAAACAAATATAATATTTGTTGCTATACACAGAGAACATTACACCTCCCTTTGGGATCTAAGACATCTGCTTGTGGGTAAAATTCTGATTGATGTGAGCAATAACATGAGAATAAACCAATACCCAGAATCTAATGCCGAATATTTGGCTTCATTATTCCCGGATTCCTTGATTGTCAAAGGATTTAATGTAGTCTCAGCTTGGGCACTTCAGTTAGGACCTAAGGATGCCAGCCGTCAGGTATGTATTTTGAAATTGTATTTACTTATTTGGTGTTTTATTTTTAAACATTTAAACAAATATCACATGTATCAAACCAAATTCTGACACTCTTCAGTGATTATCATTTGATATGTATGAGCACCTGAAGATTCACTTATTGATCTCGTAATGGCATATTACTGTTTCCAAAAAAGGCAAGGTTGACTGATGAATATACTCACCAAGTTGAGTCTCTCCTTGCTTTTCAACAATAGAAACAATAGCAAACATTTCCTTGATTCCCCTTTTCTTTCCTAACACTCCTTCCTTCTTCCCTCCTTTCCTTTGTTCCTCTCTCTTCCATCTTTGCAGCTACTTGGTAACCCAGTATACCATTTTTATGTGAAATACTTTTTGGTATGATCCTCAGGAAGATATGAATGATGAGATGGAGCCTATAATCCTTGCCATTTTTATAACATTAATAGTAATGATGATTCTTTTTCACCCTGCAGGTTTATATATGCAGCAACAATATTCACGCTCGACAACAGGTTATTGAACTTGCCCGACAATTAAACTTCATTCCTGTTGACTTGGGATCATTATCGTCAGCCAGAGAGATTGAAAATTTACCCCTGCGACTATTTACTCTCTGGAGAGGGCCAGTGGTGGTAGCCATAAGCCTGGCCACGTTTTTCTTTCTTTATTCTTTTGTCAGAGATGTGATACATCCATATGCTAGAAACCAGCAGAGTGACTTTTACAAGATCCCTATAGAGATTGTGAATAAAACCTTGCCCATAGTTGCCATTACTTTGCTATCTCTGGTATACCTTGCTGGTCTCCTGGCAGCTGCTTATCAGCTTTATTACGGCACCAAATATAGGAGATTCCCACCGTGGTTGGAAACCTGGTTACAGTGTAGAAAACAACTCGGATTGCTAAGTTTTTTCTTTGCTTCGGTCCATGTTGCCTACAGTCTCTGCTTGCCAATGAGAAGGTCAGAGAGATACCTATTTCTCAACATGGCTTACCAGCAGGTATGGAACATATTATTTACCTGGTGCTCATAATATACTTTACTATTATAATTTGTAAACTTTAAGGTTCAAAGTAATGTAAAATTTTACATAGTCAACATTTTGCCATATTTAGATAGAGGAAAGAATTATTCCTTAAACAATGTTTCTACCTATGGCTAATTCAAAATCATTTAAGGTAAAAGCTGCTACCACCCCTGCTTTGCAAGGTAAGAAGAGAGAAGTAAAGGGCTGGGGGTTTTCCCCTTAAAGTTACAATTGCATTACACAGCAGGCAATGATTGCTTTCATCATTAAACAAACAATTATTTTAATTTTTTAAATTGTCCATGTTCTCTGAAATAAGGCAACTCTCAGTAATCATATACAATTAAAATACAAAACAGAATGGGAAGTCAAGATTAGAAGACACTTAAAAGATGTTTGTCACCAAAGAACAGGAAAGAGACTAGTTCCTTAAGTGAAATTGTCCTAGCACTTTGCTCTTCAAGAAGATCTGAGAAAGCTTCATTCATGGAGGGTGCTTGATGATGAAGTAGACTCTGGTTTTCTTTAGTAATTCCCACCCAGCAAATGTGAGAGGTTTTGTTGATGTTATTTAACATTGTATTTCATTGGAGCAGAGAACATTGTGCCAAAACAAATGTGTGATGCTTTTGCATTTTGTAAGGAACCAAGGCATAATGGTCTTATGTAGCTCCTACTACTTTTGTTTCAACAGTAAAACCTAAAATATATTTTTTTAAGATTTATTTATTTATGCATACAGAACTATAGGCCAGAGATGCAGGGGCTGTGAGAGGCTTCACCAGAGACAGAGTGGGGAGCAGAACAGGCAGATCGACAAAGTATATTGCTGAGGGAGCAGCGGGCGAGTCAGGAGAGGTCTGCTGTGCCATGTGGATCACCTCCAGGGCGGGGATCGAACTCATGCTGAAGTGGCTTTAGTTTCTTAATGCTGTGCTTTAACCCGCTGCGCCACCAGGGAGGGCCCAACCCAAAATGTTTTGAGAAAAATTTACTAGGTTGATGTTCTTTATTTAAACCATTCTCTTTTCTGCAAACACCATTTCTGCTTCATGTGATTTGATACCTCCTTCAGCTGATTTGCTTTGATCTCACCATGTCAATGAAGCTTGCAGTGGACATCCTTTTAAGTTCTGCTACCTGATTTTGACTCAACCCCTGTTACTTACCCCCACCTACTTTGCATTTTTCAGTAGCCTTTACCATCTTCTAACACTCTTGGTACTTTCCTTGAGCAGAAAGTAAATTCATGAGAGGACTATTAGAGGCATTTCTCTTGTTTACTGATACATGTTTAATGCCTAAAACAGTGCCTGGCACAAAGTAGTGTCACAGACATACTTGTGGAATGAATGAATTAAATAGGAGGTCAGGTAGATCCAGGTTATATAGATATGGGGGAGAGGGTATCCTTTTATTCTAATATCTCTGTATACAACAAACAAGAATAACAAGATATTATTCTAATATCTCTGACAACAAACAAGATAAGAACCTTTTTCTACAGTGGAGTTTTTGGCTTTTTAGGTTATTGTTATGTTTGCTCCAGGAAGCTAATGGCTAAGAGGTAGCTTTTTTTTTTTAATTTCAAGTATTTGGTTAACTGCAACTTAAGAGAGTTAAACTGTATTAAGTTAAAATCTGTTTTTCCATGGATATTTATTTATTTAGAGATCGGAACAGGTGAATTTATTGAAATACTGCTAAGAGAAGCGGCAGGAAAGACGGGAGAGTCCTGCTGCACAGCGATATTTAAATTAAAGCTTCAGCCTACAGCATCAAACCCTTGAGTTGTATTCTAAATTATATTGTTTGCACGAAAATAGACAATTCTAGAAATACTACCTCTGCAGAATATAACACATTTAGTTAATCTAGTCTGACTTATTATACATACATTATCAACATTAGGTAAAGACACTTGGAAAAATATTATATATTATAGAGGAATAGGCAATTGAACAGTTAGTAAAAAATACATTAATAAAGCAGTTTTAAGTGTATAAATATTTGAGTACCTTAGGGCTTATCTTCAGGGAAGTCCCCAGCTTCCTAGGGAATAGAAAGAAGAAAGCCAATTAAACATAAATATTCTTTATGTGAGAGGAAATTACTGAAGTAGTTTAGAGATTCCTTATCTGGATTCTAAGTTAAGCTAAAGTCAGATGTATCCTAAATATTCAGCTATGGTTAAATCAGTTTTCAAAAGAACCTCAAAACTTAAATCTAACAGCCAGTGTTTCTTTTGTGTTACCCTGGAATCAACCACTGGGTATTTCATGGCCTTGGGAATCCCTGTAACCTCATGGATGTCGTATGTTTACTACACTTTTCACGCATACATGCAAAGGACAGAATTTTAGTCTTTTTTGCTTACCTCTCTTTTCCCTTTCCCCCATACTTGCAACAATATCATCCAGTAATAGGCTCTCCGTAACAGCTGCAAATTTGAAATGATATGATTCAATTATGTTCAGATATGATGTATTCTTAAGCCAAGTGAACTCTGTGCTGAATCAGTTACATATTTATTGAATAAAGGAAATTTACATTTTCTTTCTTCTTAGGTGCATGCAAACATTGAAAACTCTTGGAATGAGGAAGAAGTTTGGAGAATTGAAATGTACATCTCCTTTGGCATAATGAGCCTTGGTTTACTTTCTCTCCTGGCAGTCACTTCCATCCCTTCAGTGAGCAATGCTTTAAACTGGAGAGAATTCAGTTTTATTCAGGTATGTGGGGTTTTATTTAGTGAGGAATTAGGTAGCAAAGAATTTAAATTGAATATTAAATATGCTCCTTATAAAAGGAAAGCTTTTGGGAGCTGCATTTATGCATCTAGCTTGGGGAACACATATTACTGGAATCCAGTTTAGGACCATTCTGGTTTAGTTAAGTAAAGACCAATCCAGGATGTAGTCTACTGAAAGGCTGTGATAGCAATGCTTGCTGAATTATAAGAACAAAGGTTATTTTTAAAAGAGTAAAATGAGGCCCTCCCTGGTGGGACAAAGGGTTAGGACACAGCACTGCAAGCTAGCGCTAGCCGCAGCTGCCTCAGTGGGAGTTTGATCCCAGCCCCGGAGGTGATTTGCCTGTTCTGCTCCCTACTATGACTCGGATGAATCCTCTCACCACCTCTGCACCTCTGGCCTGTACCCCAGCTCTTTATGCATAAATAAATAAGTATATATTTTTTAAGTATAAAATTAAAGTAGGGGATAAATGAGTTCAGATCAAATTTAATGCCAAAAATAAACTTATAGCCAGATGAGTGAAGAATTACTTTATATTTTGAGTTCAGAGATATCTTATTAATTTGAATTCAAGTGGGGAAATCATCCTATATGTATGCATGTACTACGTACACATTCATAACACACACCAAGTAATTAGAGTAATGAATTATGACAAGCAACCAGCCATATGAATCTCACTGTGTATGGATTAGTTATATATGTATCTATATTTACAAAGGGGTTTTAAACCAGTATTGTGTTCTTTAAACACCCAAGTTCTTCAGTAAAAGATACATAATAAATTTGCATATGTTAAAACTGTATAACCCAAACTTAGACCCTATCAACAGTGTCAAAAAATCAATGTGAGTTGTATCCAAATAGCTTATAATATCTGAATGAGCCTTTTTTTGGTGGTACATTGGATTTTGTAGGGGTTTTTTTTAACTAAATATTTGAGCTTTCTTTTTAAACTGTCAGAAAAAAAATTTCATTCAAGTTAGATACGTATCTCATACCTAAATTCATTTTTCCCTTTTGAAGGAGAGGTGATATGGATATTTTTCAACTGCTAGTTAATCACACCTGGAAAGAAATAGAAGGCTTTCTGGTATAAGGTGCTGGATGGTTGAAATTTATCATTAAATATTTAGATGAGTAATTGCCAACAGACAATTTTCTGCTAGAGAGTTGATCCTCTCCCAGTGAAGTTTGAAATTATACATGCTGATGTAATACTATGCTTTATGTAACCTAGAACATTTTATTTTTTTAATTACAGTACCATTGGTTTACAACACAGTATATGATTCAGAGGTGTAGTTCACACCTCTTCAGATGTATGTTATTTCCTCACACCCACCACTGAGGAACATGCAAATACCATGGTCCAGTGGGCCCTTTCCCCCCTTACTCTCACCTTCTGCTGCCCTTTTGGGTAGCCACAATTTTATAATCTATAATCAGTTTTCCAGAGTTTGTTTGTGGTTTGCTTGACCCTTTATTTTCTTTCTCTACATTCCATATAAAGTGAAACTATCTGCTATTTCTCTTCCATTTTATTTCACTTGGCATAATCCTCTCCAGTCCCACCACATTGTTGAAAATGGCAAAATTTCACCTTGTTTTTTTTTAATGGCTAAATAGTAGTTCATTGTGTAGTTCATAACTCATTTTAATCCAGTAAGCTGTCTTTGGGCATTTAGGTTGTTTCTATAGCTTCACTGTTGTTAACTGTAGTGCTATAGTGAACATAGGAGTGCAAATGTCCTTCAGTTAGTGTTTTTGCATTCTTCAGGTACTTAGGAGTGGAATTGCTGGATCATATGGTAAATTTATTTTTAATGTTTTGCAAAACCTCCATGCATATTTTCCTTAAGGACCAGTCTACATTCGTGGACCAGTCTACATTGACAGCAATGGTATACAAGGGTTCCTTTTTCTCTACATCCTTGCCAATACTTATTGTTTCTGGCATAGACCTTTTTTTTTTTTCTTTTTTAAAGATTTATTTATTTGTGCATACAAGAACTTGGGTACAGGCCAGAGGTGTGGGGAGTGAGAGGGTTCACCAGAGACAGAGTGGGGAGCAGAAGAGGCAGATCGACCAAGTACACTGCTGAGGGGAGCAGTTCTGCAGCGCCATGTGGGTAGCTCCCTGGTCAGGGATCATCACGTTGTTATGAGTTTAGGTAGCTTCAAAAAGCTGTGAAGTAAATCTTTGTGCCACTGGGGAGGCCCCAAAAACCATTTCTTAAAGTAAGCAATTGAACATGATTATTTAGGGAAACTGAAATGCTGACCTTCTAGATATTAACCTGTAAAGTGCTTTATTGAAGTACTCTTCATAAAGTCATTTAATATTGCCAATAAAGCCACATGCTGCTTATGTTAACACTATAGGTTCTTTATATTTATCTGCAACTAATATATATGTATATTTATACATCCATGAGAATGCTTTTCAGTGTTTAATTTTATTATATATGCAGGTGTGTAAGTACATGTCTGTGTGCTTGTATGTACATGTATATTTTGAATATGTGTATACACATTGTTTTAATGCACACAGTTGGTGGAAAGGTGGATAACTTTTATAAAGAAATAAAGCCATTTTTTCAATCCCTTGAGGAAAAAGTTCTTGATGTGAAACGAATCAATCAGAATATTAAACTATATGTGAAGTATATTAAACTAATATGTAAAAAGTAAAATGTGCATATAAATATATATTATTAAAATATGTAAAGTGTTTAATTCAGTAGAAACAAAGAGCAGATCCATAAGATAAAATAATGTCATCAAAATGTAAACATGGTATAGCTGGATGGGTTATGTATGGATTTGAGTAATTTATTTCTTATCCTTTATTTCTTTTTCTTTCGCTCCTGCCCCAAGTCCACACTTGGCTATGTCGCTTTACTCATAAGTACTTTCCATGTTTTAATTTATGGATGGAAACGAGCCTTTGAAGAAGAATACTACAGATTTTATACACCACCTAACTTTGTTCTTGCTCTTGTTTTGCCCTCAATTGTAATTCTGGGTAAGGTTATTTTACTCCTTCCATGTATAAGCCGAAAGCTAAAGAGAATTAAAAAAGGCTGGGAAAAGAGCCAGTTCCCAGAAGAAGGTGTCGGAGGTGCAGCCCCTCATCTCTCACCAGAGAGGGTTACAGTAATGTGATATTAAACGGTGCTCACTGAGGCCATATGACGTTCTCCTCGTGCCATTATTTTTAGGACTTCCTCTGTGTTCATTTCCAAGTACACTGTTGCTGTGGGCTGAAGCCTGTTCAATGAGATCCCTACTGCATTAGCGGTGGAATTTTCTCCAGATTAATTTTCACCAACGTCACTTTGCGAATATGACTTTTTGTAGTCAACATATTGAAATTTAGGTATATTTTGTTTTGGACAACTGTAACATGATTATTATTTTAACAAACTACATTCCATAATCAGGTAAAAAGATCTATAATTAATAATATAGATGCGATATATTAAAAAAGTAACAAATCGGCAAAATTTTAAGTTTTAACATAATTTGATGGATGTGGGTTTTTTTTCTGAAGCTTAAATAATGGTTTTAATTATCCAGTGTAAGAAGTAGAAATGTATAATTATAAATTACTTTTAAGAAGGAATACATTACATTAGCATCTAAGGACACACATTCCTGTTTTTCTCATAAGATAGACTTTGAATTGTATGCACCAATGCAAATGAATATGAATAACAGCAAATTAAAACAAAAAATTTAACCTGAAATTATGTTTAAAATATATATATACTAATAATAATTGTGAAAGATTTTGTTCTTATTACAGACAGTTTCATTGCATGTTAATTATTGCGGATTAATCATTTGCAAGTAAATTTGCATATCACTCAAGAAAAAGACAGCAATATTGGGCCTTCAAAACTAACTTTTCTAATACAGTACCAATCCTGAGTATCTTTTCATTGTTTTAGTTAGAGGGAAAGTGTTAGGTTTACATACAAATAGTTGCTTGTCGATTGATTATGTTGCTGAGCTTAGCCTCTTAGCGCTCCATGGTACTGTAGGATATTCCTGATGTCCATAGGAAGATTATAACAAATAAGCACTTTATTTGTATGATCCCATTTAATACTTACATTAACCCAGTGACAGAGGTGTAGTTATCTTTTTCCTTTTCCTTATCCAAAAGGGTAGGTTTATTATATTAAAAAGGGAAAGGAAAGACAAGTATGCTTGCACAGATATAAGTAGGCAGTCAGATCCTCGCCTGAAAAGGACAGTTTTGTTAGGAAAAGGAGAAAGAAAAAAAGGTGTTTGCATAGTCATAGGCAGACAGGAGAGCTGCCTGTCCTCATTTTATAAGAAAACTGAAATATAGAAAAGTTAAATAATTTGATCAAGGTCGCACAGTTACTGAGAGAACCCGCATTTAAGTCCAGGCACTCATCAGAAACTACAGTCGTAATCACTGGACCCTGCTCCATCCCCAAAGGTAGGTCCATGAAGCCCAGTTGTGATGCATCCTCCTCTACACAAGAGCATCAATTTAAGAGAGGGTGGTGGGCATCAAAAGATGCATGAAACATTGCAGTGTAAACTTCATGTTGCTCATCAGCTAATCCACAATTACCTTAGGGAGAATCTTGCCTGGGACATGACACCAGAGACCATGGCAGGCCATAAGCCTCCCTGTGCAATGTCGGACTCTATAGAGCAGGTTTTTTTGTTTTTTTTTTTAAAGATTTATTTATTTGTTCATACAGAACTGGGGTACAGGCCAGAGGCTCAGGGGCGGCGAGAGGCTTCACCAGAGACAGAGTAGGGAGTAGAACAGGCAGATCTACGAAGTAAACTGCTGAGAGGAGCAGCGGGTGGGTCAGGAGAGGTCTGCCAGGCCATGTGGTCACCTCGGGGCAGGCGGGGATCGAACTCATGCGGAAGTGGCTTTAGCTACTCAGTGCTGTGCTTTAACCCACTGCGCCGCCAGGGAGGGCCCACTATAGAGCAGTTTTTAATAAATGGCTGGGAGTTTTAAAAGCTTATACAGTTGGTCATCTCCTTTTTTCTTCCTGAAAAGTTCTGCTGGCTGTTCAACCATTCATTAGGGAACAATTTGCGAGCATGAAGGATATTAGGATAAGTGGTTAATTATAACCTACTCTGGAGACATCTAATCATACAAATTATTTTTAAATTTCTTCAGTGCTGATATTCCACATTAGCATCATATTATGCTCAATTTTGGTTAGCATACCTTACAACTTTCTTTCCATTTGTTCTTTCCTAAAAAAGAAAGTTGGAGACAAGATACAATATTATGTAGTTCTCTTCCTGACTTATAACAGTCTTAAATTTGCTCAGTGAGGTACTACTGAATCCAGCTGCAAAAGTAACAGGACTTTTATTTAGGCAGTGTCTCCTTCTCTGCATTTGCATTTTGTCAATTTGGTAAATCACTGATTTCCTAATGTTTTGTTTATGGACTTTAATATCTTACACTTCAAAGTTGAACGTTCCTTTTATTTACTTTAATTATATTTTCTTACTGGTCACTTGTCAGTTTTTACTAGGAATTCCATTAGATGATAAGTTTAAAGGTAAACACCTGTAAACTATTGTAGTGAACTAGTGAACTAACGCTGTATTTCCAATACTTTCTTATTCTTAGTTTTCTTTCTCTTAAAACTATGCTTTCACTATTTAGTGTGAAAATACAGTGAAATATTTTTTTTAATTAGATGACTACTGAAGTATATTGTTGCATGCATATGGTAAGTATCCAACAATACAAATAAAATTGTTATTATAAATGGGTTCTTTGAAAATATGAAAAGAATTTATGAAAATGTATAGAAGACATAACTTGTTTCAGATGGTAATATCTTATTTTCAATGCTGCAGAGATGAAGCAGTTTTGAAGTTTTAGATTAAAAGTAAAATACTCATTATCATTCTAAACATTTAAAAATGTTGATAAATGGAAATTTTTTTTAATTGCTTTACTTATTGACTTTAAATTCCTGATTATTTTTCTTCTTATTTTTTTTTTAAATTTGGCATTAGTTTGACCTAAAAAAGGACTAAATTCTGTTCCTGATATATGTGAAAATGTGGTAGGAACATTCAAATAGCAAGGATTTGTTTTCTGATCTGTATTTGAAAAGTGCCCCTGAGAAAATTATAAGAATGTAAAAAGTATATCTAGTCCTATGCAAAAAGGCAAGCAATTTTTCCTGAGGATAATAACCATGGATTAAACCATGCTACTTAGCTTTTGTGTACAGATTTTATGTCTCCTCTATTAAGAATATTTAAAATCATGTTTAAATAAGAATATATTCACGCTGACATATATTTTTCAGAACATATATGGAAATTTCACCCAGATTGTCTACATGTAGAGATTTTTATTTAAATTTAAAAATATTTTAAAGTATGAATAAATTATATTTATAGGTATTTATTGGAGATAATTATTTTGTTCTACATGCAAGATTAGCTAATGCGCTTCAGTGTTGAACTGATTAATTTCTTATAAATTAGCATAGTCTTGATTAAGGAACTTTACTTTCAACATTAATTTGATAATAGTAACAGAAGGTATATTTATATTTACACTACAATCAAATTATAAAAATTCTTTGTGTAAAAAGGGCTTCAAGAATATATCATAGCAAATTTTTGTATTTTATTTCATGTAATATGATAAAACCTTAATGTTTTTTTAATTGCCTTTTGCCATTAAGCTGTTTCATAATAAATTCTGTACAGAGTGTTTCCCCCCAAAAGAGAGGTTTGTGAAATTGAAGGTTTCTTATGTGCTTTTTTAAAATAAGGTGTCAAAAATCTAATTCATCAGTATTTCTTCAGGAACATTACAAACACTGACTTTATGTCAGCCTGTAAAATGTTTTGAAGTATTTAAACAGCCTAAAATGTTGTATTGAATTTCTTTTGTAAATTCATGACTTAAAACTGCTATACATATCTGGGCCTGATTCAGTTCAATGTTAAGATTCATATTTGTGATATCATCAAAATAAGATGCTCCACTCTCCATTGTTTTTAAGTTAATGCAACAAATTGTTTGAAAGTCAGCATATATTCATTAAAGTATTATAATTAACTCTAAATGAAGCTGAAATAATTTTACTGGAAACACAATTTGTTCATACCTTTAAACAGTGAATTTTACAGAAGGATAGTTTCTTCAAATTTTTTAATGTGAGAAAATTAAAAAATATTTAATATTCAGATTCTGGCCATATGGTATGTTCATTTCACTTAATACACATACATACTGAGATTTTTTTTTAACTTTACAGTCACTGGGTTTCCATTGTGTTATCATCCAAAATTAGGGCAAGCTACATGGATTCGTCCAGTTGCTGGATGGAATTAGTGAAATCCAAATCAGGTGCTTTTGTTTGATTTGTTCCAAATTGTCCACTTAAGATTTGTCATGAAGGTCTTTCACTGCTTTGCAGAGGAGACCCAGTCTGACCAGGTACTGAAAGTTGCCTGCCAATATCTAGGTACTCACTCTCCTTTAAAAGTTGCCACCCATCACATTCCTCAGCTGTCCTTGAAGTTAGGTGTATTCAAGAGAGTAAGTTTCTTCAGGTGATATGTACAGGGATTGGGCCATGAGTGTGACTCAGTACAAGTCTCTTCAAAGGAAAGCAGTGGGTATCTTTATCTTATTCCTTCATCTTGCTGCCGGGATTATGGATATAGTAGGAGCCCTGGCAGCTATGGAAGGCGAGAGAGGCCCGAAGTCACATCCTAAAGGAGGCAGGCTAGAGACTGAAAAGGTCTTAAGTAGTTGCAACTTCCACTGCCCTTTCCTGTATGCAAGCCACTATAAATTTGAGTTTTCCTGTATAAATTAACTATTCGTGTCTGATCTTCAGTTCTTTGCCATGATATATTTGAAAGTTTGAATAAACTAAATTGCAATAATTCTTACTTTTAAAGGCTTTGAAAAGATAATGTTCAATTCACACTAGAGTTGGTTTTCCCATTGTTAATTTATACTCATTTTCTTGCCTTGATGTTTCATTAAATAATTTGTATGTACTTTGAAATTACTGTCTTCTTTATAATTGTATAATTGATATTTGTTAACATTCTGTAATCTCCAAAATATAGCTATCAAATTACATGCCATGTTTTTACAACATTCTCATAGTTCTGCCTTATTAATATCTAAATAAAAAGTACTATTTAATGTGTTTTGTCTTTTTTTTTTTTAAAGATTTACTTATTTGTGCATACAGAACTGGGGTACAGACCAGAGGCTCAGGGGCAGTGAGAGGCTTCACCAGAGACAGAGTGGGGAGCAGAACAGGTAGATTGATGAAGTACACTGCTGAGGGGAGCAGCAGGCAGGTCAGGAGAGGTCTGCCACACCATGTGGTCACCTCCAGGGCAGGCAGGAATTGAACT